GTCTCAGCTGTAGAGATCTGCTACACGAGAACGTTCCGAGAGATGAGTAAACAAAACTGCACCTCATCACTGTTTGCCTTAGTTGCAGTTACATCATATATGTATGATGTATGTTAGAATTCCAGAAATCTCTGTCATCTGTTTGTATGTAGAAGTAGAATATCTACAAAGTGTTTATCTCATTGCCTTCGCACTTCTTTTGACATAACAATTATAGAACTAGTAGTGCACTCAAGAGACCACATACATCTGCCAAGCCAACACCCTGTCTTTCATGTTAAAGAAAGTGAAAAAGAAAAACCTGAATCTGCCTGTTTATCCAGATCAACTAAATTATTTAATGGGCTCTTCCCTTGGTCATCCCCTTCCCCTCCACAAAGTTTCATGGAAATCAGCTCACTGTTTTTTGCATTATCCTGCTAACAAACAAACAAACAAATGTCAACCAACACCAAGGCCCAACATTCCTCTTAAATTCAATAAAGCTGAATCAAATTGCAGAAATTCATAAATATCAGTCCCCTATGTATATTATGCCTGATTTTTTCCACCGAGATCCATGATTCATTCCTTGGCAAAGGAACATTTCCTGGATCGGTCCCCAGATCTGCACCAAAATGTGATGTGTTATATCCTGACCCATATCGTATCCTTCGACCAAGTTTTTGTGTAATCCTGCTAAATAACAAACATGTGGATGACGGCATAAACTCCTTGTCGAAGCTGATTAAAGCCAGATTCATCATTAATATTTTCTGTTTCGATGAAATGCAGCAGGGTCACTTGAACACATATGAAGTGAAAATGAAACACATGTTAAAATGAAACACGTCCTGTCCTCTCCATGTTATAACGGGTTCTCTTGGCTGAAAGGACATTAACTACACAAACACATGTAAAACAAATAAAAGACTCTCGCTCTCCCAAGTGACACACGATAAAAACTGTGCATGCCATGCTTGACTGTGTTCGCGTGTCTGCATGTGTGATGCACTCAACTCAGGGAATATGTCTGCATTTCACACCAATTATAAAAATCTCTGTGCGCACACAAAACTTTGCAGCCATTTTCTTTCCCCTGGAGGAGTGATGTCATTTGTGATCTATACCTCCTCGTCAGTGGCGCTTGACCCGTGTGGGTTTACTTAAATACCAGAAGTAATGTTCGGAGATAACAATGAAAAATGACTGTGGATGACCAGGTGAAAACAAATGTCTATACAACAGCCTCTGTATGTCGGAGGTCTGAATGTAGCTCACAGCCTTTATGAGTGGGGACACATAGTCTCTGCTTTAAATTTCCCAGATGAGACATATTTTATATAAGCTACAGTTTCTGCTCACATATTCTTTGACCAAAATGTTTCCTCGATTTAATCACACATTGACTATTTCTGTAAAGAGTAGACTATCATTTCAAAACTCAATTTAAAAAAATAAAAAAAACACTAGGTCCTATGTTGGACCACCTTCGTGAGAGAATCATTAAACCAGAGTTCACAAAGGGAACTTCCATTCCTTCATATGATAAATTTTTCATAGTGCATTTATTACAAAGCCCAGGGGCTGATAGCAACAGCCGAGAGATGTATAAAACCAATTTCACATTTTAAGCTAATTTGACTGATAACGGCCGTGTTATGCATCACAATGACAAAATGTGCAACAAGCCTCAATACTTCTTCCATTAACAAAAGAATCTGTTAAATCCTGATGTGGGGGGGAGTGTAAATTCTTCAAGTGCGCTCCAGACTGAATCAGATGAAAAAAGATCAGCCCTGCAGAAGCCAAATATTTCTTCATCATAAAAAATGTAATACATTATTTTTATTTATTTTTTTTACCTTGGAGGAAAATGTGGGTGAACTCGCTGACCTGTCGATCGCTTTTTTTTTTTAAAGTTGAACAAACGACATAAAATCCAGCAACATTATCAAAGATGGATGAACAGATTTCCTCTTTAGGCCAAAGCTGATTCCAGGCTCAGTCAGGTTTGATCAGAATTTTATTGAATCTCATATTTTCTAAATGCAAACATGAACCCTTCTAATGACCATCTATCCATCCATTGTCTTCCACTTATCTGGGCTTGGGTCGAGAAGGTAGCCATGCAGCTAAGTAGAGTATCCCAGACATCCCTATTCCTAGCTACGCTTTCCAGCTATTCTATATATAGATCGATATCTATTCCCTCCAGCGAGTTCTGGGTAAACCCCTTTGTCTCCTCCTGGTTGGGTGTACCCAGTAAACCTTCAACAGAAAGCACCCAGGATGCATCCTGATTAGATCCCTGAAGCACCTCGACTGTCCCCTTTTGACGTGAGGTAGCAATGTCTCTACTCCGAGCTCTCTACGGATGTCCGAACTCCTGAGGTCAGGAGAAGAGCAGCCCGACGGATCATTTCAGTCACTTGTATTTCTAGTCTCGTTCTTTCTGTCACTACTAAATCAAAAACCTTGCACAGCACCTGCCAATGCCACATTGACCCACCTGTCCGTCTCAAGTTATATCTATCCCTTACTCGTGAACAAAACAATGGGGTATGTCCCATCTTCTAACATGGAGGAGGTGGTGTTTATGACATGTACCCCAGCCAGCCACAAGGGGTCGATCAAAAGGGTTTGGCTTCACTTTTGGGGAGCTTTCATGTCATCCATCTTTAATAGTCTATGCATAAAACATTTCCAAGTGCTGTTTAGCATCTCCTTGACATCAGCTTCACACTAAATCTCACATTTCTCAGCCTCTCGTGTCAGGTCGAGTGAGATAACAGTGATAAACACTTTTAACAGTAGTGACTTTGCTGAAGTGAAAAATAAAAGATGAAGAGGGCGTGTGATTAACATAAGTATGTCTAAGACAGCGAGTCAACAACAGACTCTAAATGCAGGGAAACGGTGCCTCAGTAAAGCACATACACATTTAATGAGTGATTCAGAAGTGCAGATCTGAAACACCTCAGCAGTGAGCACCTCACGAAAAAAGGTTTTACTCAAAAATATCAAGAATCCCACTTTGAAGAAGCAGAGAGGACTTTGACACAAGAAAGTAACATAATGATGTGAATTGTTCTATTTATTTAGCATCTGTTTAAATTACAGAGCGGGACAATATGATCTTATAACTTCACTTTTGTTTCAGCCCCATTCATGTTTTTTACTGTTTCCAAAGATTTGTATTAGATATAGACCAATATGGATTTTTGAGATCAGACACTAGATAGTAAATAATTTCTGATGCCGATATATTAGCCAATATAAATATTTGATTTCCAAGATGTTGTTACTAAGCCCTTATGACAAGAAATGTAATAGAGGCTTTATATTTTACAGTTTAACCTTAAAGTTAATTATAAATATCTGTAAACAAAATCAAATACAAGTGAATATATAGAACTTGAATTAAGAAAATAAATATAAATGCACATCTTTTTTGCATTGTTTGTTCTGTAAAATAAAGCTTTTCATATCAGTAGACTTTTATACGAGTGCTGCATTTTTAAATTTTGAACTGTTGCATGGTCGCAGACACAGAAAATCTTAAAGGTGGAAGAGAGAGAAGGAGAGAGGACAGCCAGAGTGACTCAGACTGTAAACACGTCGGGGTGAGATGATCCAGCTGCTATGTAAACTGATCCAATAGCTGGAGAGTTCGAGCTGACTGTCGGGTCACACACACTTACCACACGCAAACACCCAACGCTACTCTCTCTGTAAAAACACACAAGGGGACGCAGCTGTACATTTGTTAGGACGCATGTATGTGTACATCAGCACAAACACACTAAATATACAACCACAGGAGCCGAGGTTAAATGAAGGTGGCAAGCCAGAGGGGTTACCGGATACAGGATAATATTCAATCATTTAGCACGCACGCACACACACACGCACACACACACACACACACACACACACACACACAAACACACACACACACCTGCAAAGCTACAGAAGCTCGAACACATTCTTCCACACCTCTTACTGAAGCAGTCAGGAATCTCCCACCACACATGCAATACTAAAAGAGCGACGAGCTTCATCAGAGCAAATAAAAGTGAACAAATCCAGGTGTTGATAAAGTGTTATGGTTTTCAGATTAACCATTGTTAGTGTCCAAGGTCATTCAATATTCTCTGCAATTTAGAGCTGAGATCAAATAAGACATGACACAAAAATACTGTTGTCTTCTCTCCCAAAAAATAATTATATATATAAGGAAGAGAAAAAGCAAGGACGAGAGAGGAGCTTTCACAGATTCATCCCTACAAATTTGTAAAGGAAATATTAAAGTTTGTCTTAAAAAGCCTCTGATGTTCATGACCCAGGATTCTCATCCCACGCCGCTCACCTCTGTACATCGGAGCTCAACACCCACGCTACCACAGCAGCCTAATTAGCGGAGTATGGCGGCGGCTGGTCCGATGAGGGCTCGCATTCCATCAGGCTCTCATTTGCTCTTAAAACAGCATTAACCTTTTGGGCAGACTGGTGCTTTGAGCTGTTTACAGCTCCCGTCCACTTTCTAAAAATGTTACGTTTCAGGTGCTTGGACGACTGCGTGGACTAAATCTAGGCACGACGTGAGACTTCCTGTAGCCCTACCTCTAAAGGAAGTTAATCTAATGGTGTTTCAGTCATACTTCCTGCTACCCACAGTGTAGATATCACCACTACTAGATTAAAAATGTAGTCTTCAGGTTTATTTGAGAAAACCTCCTTGGTGTGTATGTGTGTGTGCTCATATACATCCATCTTTGTGAGGACCAAGGCCACTGGGCATTTTGTCAGATCTTTGCTTCTTCAAAGTTTTGTTTGAGAGTCAAGACCTGGTTCTGCAGTTAAGGGTAGAATTGGGTTTAGGTTGGGATAATGGTTGGGGTCGGACAACTCATTGTCTTGGTAAAGGTTAAGGGCTTGGGATGCATTATGTCAATGAATGAGGGTCCTCACAATGATAGGTCTACAAGTATACATGTCTTGTTAAGTGTAGGTTGTACCTGTGCCCTTGTTGCGGTCCACAAAGCAGTACTTCAGTTCATACTCTTTCAGAATCTCATGGACCTCCTGTAAACAAGCAGAACGAGAGAAAAAGACAAACCATCAGTCAAATGAGAATAACTGAGAGTCAAATGAGAATAACTGAGAGTCATCAGGCCAATAGAAAAAGACAAACCATCAGTCAAATGAGAATAACTGAGAGTGTAAACACTTTAAACACAACAAATTCAAAATATTAAAGTCTCATATAAAATATAACATAATAAGACTTTCAACTTAAAGGCTGCAACAAACAATTTTTATTTATTAAGTAAATGAATTTCAACTCATCATTTAATAAGTTTAATCAATTATCTTCTCTGCCAAAAACCCTCTTCTGTTGGGCTTTAATCATTTCTTATTTAATGGCTCTCATCTGAGAGCTATTAACTGAATTGCGGCGTTCCGCAAGGTTCAATTTGAGGCCCTGCACTTTTTTACCATAAAGATGCTGCCACGCTGGCAGTTATCTTGTGGAAAACAATAACCCAAATCTTCACACTACTCAAAATGCATGTTGACGATTAATTAATTAATTAAGTAACTCGTCACATTATTAGTCAGGAGACTTGAGAACTGTATATAACTGTTTTCAGTGTCACACTATTAGGAGTATTCATGTATGAAGTCTTCAAATAATCACCATGACAACCTGAATAAAGATAAATGTGATAAGATGGCCTGATTTTTTCTTTTTCCTCTATTGTCAGTGTTCTCATGCACAAGCATACAATCAAAAAAGAAAGAGCTTCTGTCCTCTACCAACAGTTTTACAACAAGAGAATAAAAGAGAATCTAATTAAGCAACGTTAAGACGAAAAATAAACTGTACAGTGCAAAAAACATGCATTACAGAAGCAAGTATTAGAAATGTGCTGAAGTGTTCCTTATATCATTGTATGGAGATAGACAGGAAACCCAATCATGGTCATTTGTCTCTTTAAGTGTTTTCCATTTTAAAGATGAAAAGATGTCTGTCTCCTGTCCTCCAGTTTATAAAGATGGTATCCCAGTACAGAAGACTCAAATAGACAGACCCACACACACACACCTGTTTATCTGAGTTATAAATCTCATTTTATTTATAGGAAGAGCAGAGTCCACTCTGCTGTGTTTGTCTCTCCAGTGACAGTTCATGATGCACGGAGACAGGAGAGGGAGCAAACAGAGAGATGCAAGAGCAGAGCAAGAGATGCTCACACTCTGTCACTGTGCGTTATGAACTCCACTGCTCACTGCTACCTCTCCGTTAGCCTCGGTGCCTTCCTGGCGGATTTCACTGTTACATAGAAACGGAGTCTTCATGACACACAAGTCGATGACAGCACAAAATGTTCAGAGCCGAGCATCAAGGCAGTTTTCTTTCTAGATGTGCCCAAGTGATATGAGGAGCCTCGCAGGATTCAGTGACTGTCAAACCCGGAGAGCACAACAGCTCCTGATCGAAGAAGCACAGAGGAGGTGGAAGGAATGAAGAATGAGCAACTAAACAGAAAAAATCAACACCCACAGCAAGAAAACAACCTGTGAGGCTCAGTCTAAACGCCATGCATCAAGCTTTTACTGCTAAGTGCCACCAGAGACATGTTGTAATGGCCAGCACATTATGCACATCCCACAAAACTCCTCTATCCACAGATGCAAACACTGTGAATTCACCAAAGAAGGCTGCAGGGAGATTTCCTCCTGACTTGACTCGCAGGAAACACAAGAGCAAACAGATCGGATCTAATGTGGCTCATGTGAGTTGTTTAATGCTTAATCTATGACAAGTTTTCTTGTATTACGACTTTGCGCTCGGGTAGAAACAAAAGACCCGGTGGACCTGTCTCACTATTTTTAACAAGGAAAAAATTTCAAATTCAATTAATCTGAATTAATTTGGACGTATGCGAACACTAAAAATCAGTAAAATTAAATGTCTCTTATCTACTAATTCCAGAAATCTCTGTCTGTCTGTATATGGATCACATATTTCGAGAACTGTTCATTTTATCGGATTCACACTTGACACGTGTTTTGTTAAAGGCCCAAGGAAAAGCAGAGTTGAATTTAGTGCGATTTGGAAAACTGATACGTTCAATTTTCGCCTGATTCAGGAATTCTTTTCAACTTTCCCTAACATTGCGATATAGAGCGTCGGCCTTGGTGGAGATATACGTTCTATGGGTCCCCTTCTAATTTTTTACTTAGGTTTTTATAGCCATATTTTTGGAAAAGCAAGCTTCTCCTCAGTGAAACACAGCGTTTGTGGGTATACTTCTCATTTCAGCTGCCTCTGGGTATTTGTGCAGTTAAGTGTGCAGTGTTATCCTCTGGTGCGCCTGACAGCACACCGCCTCCTTTAGGGCTATAATATTAGCTTCTGCAGTAACTTAGAGACTGTCACACCCCGCAGACCACCTCCCATATTAGTCACGGACCGCCTGGCTTCAGAAGGACATTTATCTAGTGTCTTGCCTCATCGTAAACCAGTAAATCTACGTTTCTGTCACAGCACAGAGCTGTTCTCATGATACATTGTTGACTGTTCACATTTTCTAATCATTTCATTGACTCACCAAGAAATGTTTTTTTCATTTTTGCAGATTTCTGACAGCAACGACTTGCGCTCTGCAGGGTGAAATTATTTGTTATTTTTGTTAATGAAGCCTGGAACTGCAGCCTCATGTGGGACACAATTTACACAAGTGATCAAATCTCACAAACACGCACCTCCACATTATTCATCAGACTCAAACTGGTGATTTATGACTGTGGAGAACTCACAGGAGCAACACAGAAAAGATGATTAGATCAAGAATATGATAGTTTCCACAGCCCTTAGTCTTTTCCATCTCGTCCCAGCCTGTCATGGTGATGCTCTACATTTGTATTTTGGCTTAGTGTAATGTCATTTCTTGCAGTATTTTCACATGCCTCATATCTTTCAAATCTTTACAAGCAAAGCTCAATGTTCTGCAATGAAGCATAAAACATTTTTAATAAGTACTGAAGTGCTAAAAATAATCTGACATGCCATTTTATCAGATTTTGCTAAATATTATGTCTTTGTCCTGTAATTACCATTACAATTTTAAACAGAATTTTGTATTTTGTTTGAGCTTTATTCTATTTTGTCAAAAAAAAATTACACAGAACTTACTGTGAATGTTATTATGCTAGTTACTGGAAAAAAATGATAAAAACAAAAAACATAGTGAATCAAGACATTGCTAAATAAAGAATCATGTAAAATAGTTCTATATAAGCCATAAGTTATTCGAACTTATATTACTATATATTTGTAGTTTTGAGAAGTGATTTCAACCACTTCCCCTTGTGACTCAGTCTCAAGGGGCAAGATAACCCTCAAAAACAAGGGGTAGTGAGAAGGGGTGAAATGTGATTGTCCCTCAGATTCTGGGCTGGAGTGAATAAATAAAGTGAATGTGGGGAAAAAGAACAATTCTAAAAGAAATGATTATCATATCATTATTATAATGAGTCCACTCTGTGTCGTCGGCTAACGTTGCCCATATTCTGTGCTTCTATTCACTGCTGTTTGTGATGTATTTTGTGTGTTCCATTCAGGCATGAAGACAAAAGAGCTTTGCATGATTGTAATGCATCAACTCGTGAAAGAAAATTTGATATTTTCAGGAGGTCATGTGGTCATTTACTTCACAGAAAACATGCATTTATGTCATCATTTCCATACAAATAAAATAAATGCCTCAATGTTTGAAGTGTTCTAATATGTAATTTTTTTTCTTGTTCAGTCCCTCTAAACACCCACCCACCCACCCACCCACACATGAGCACAGCGAGAAGAGCGAGCAGGCATGTTCCCTATCAGTGAAGGCTGTGCGAGGCAGCCCACACAGAAGGTCAACTCGCTCGCCCTTAAAAATCAGTGCAGAGCTAGTCGTAATGGCTGAGAGGGAAACAGAGAGAGAAGGAAAGGATACATTAGATCTGTGCTCCATATTCATCTATTTCATGATCCACCCATCCTGCCCCAGACAAGAGGAGGCTGAGTAGCAGCGTTAGTGTGAAGGGATGAAGAAGAACCATCTGAACACTTAGTCGCTGATGGCTACAGACAACTACCACCTATAATAATCTTGTCTTGACCAATACAGTATATACTTCATTGAACCAGTTGAAAACTAGAATCACGTCCTTTTATAACTCAAGTTGCAGTTTACATTATTGTTTGTGCAGTTTCTGTGGTGGGGATGTAAAACAAATTACATCTGTTGCAACTGCAGAAGCATTGAGAAAACAAAGTTTTAATGTTTTTTACAAACACACAATACAGGGCAGTAGAGAAACAAGGTAACTACAATAAGAATAAAACAGGAATAAACTATTTGGATGAAGGTGTGAGAGGGTTTAAACAAACTGCTTTAGGCTCTTATCCTTAACCAAAGCCCTGCTTCTTCTTTTAGATCTGGTTAAACCTCTGTTTCAGGGTTTGCATGGTTTATTTTCTCTTAAAGTGTTTGAATTGACACGAAAGTCATAGACTTCAGGAAAATGTATCCCCTAAGTAAAGGAAATTGAAGGGAACTAGAAGTTCCTCCCTGTTGTTCTATGCGTCTACCATCCAATGCAGTTTCAATCCTCCCAAGTGTTCCTGATATGCAATAATATAAGGTCAGTGTAACCTTACATCAAAATCTAATTCATTCATCTTTAAGTCCAAGTGAACCTTTTTTCAAAGTAGAAATTTCCTCAACATGTTCCAATAATGTGTTTTTTAAGGTCACAGTGACGTTTGACCACCAAGTTCAAATGTGAGTTCAAATGAACACTTGTACCAAATTTGAAATGAATCCCTGAGGGTGCTCCTGAGATATCGCGTTCACGAGAGAAAAAAAAAGTGAGGTCAAAGCAACCTTGAACTTTCATATTTTTTAACCTTCAGTCCAACATAATGTTTGAGCTAAAGTTGAAGAAATTCCATCGAGGCGTTCGTCAGATATCATGTTCTCCTGGACAGACAGACTGAGAGACAACCCTCAGACATAACACCTCCTGCC